CAGAGGGAGTAGTAGAGTACCATAAGTCGTGAAATCCTTCGATTTGTATCACTACTATAAAATACTACATTAAATAACATAGGTTGTGGCGCAGGTGGTCAGATTTGTTCATACATCACTTCTTACCATCACAAGATATCTGATACTTGCTCATTGCCTTAATCGATCTTATAATTTCTCAAGCTCCATTTCTAAAATATATATATATATATATAAAGCTATATTTCTAGTTCACTTGTTTCTGTATCATGATGATCCGTACATCACGTGAGTTGCTCGTATAGTCGTATATCATGTGTGTAATATAAAGATTCGAACTTTGATCCTATGAAGTTGAGGGGAGTTATATCTCCTCGAACCAGTTTAGCTAGTTTCCTGTGGACAATAATAATTTGAAAAAAAAAAAAAAAAGAGAGAGATAGAATTTGTTTTTTTTTTCCGCTAGTCACGCGTTTATAATCATCGGGGTATGACTCAATGGGGTTAAGGGCCGCAAAATAAGAACTTTTTTTTTTGTTAAAGCGCAAAATAAGAAGTTTAATAAACGAAACTATATATATTTGGAATAAACAATTTTGTGTTGAAAATATGGTATGATTTAGGGAAGTAAAATTCCATTATCAATTGATTTGAAGTGGACTAACTAAACGACCCATTTTGACAATTATATTACTTACTTTGAACAACTACGTACTTCTCATTTTTGACATTTTATTATTGTTATATAAAATACACCACTATCTACAGATTCACATTCGGATAGATTTTCTAGTTCGGGAGCTCGACATTCAATTCCACTTCTTTATTTACTGTACATATAATAAAATACACAAAAAATGAATTTCTTACATGCCTATATAGATGTAAGCACATAGAGTACACAAACTATAAAGAATTAGACAAGCCAGGACAATATTCACATATAAACAAAAAGATTGTATAAAAATAAACTCGAAACGAAAGACCAAATGATGATAATATTCAGAGTTTGGAAACCATATCGAAAGCGGAGCTTTAGAGGCCTCAGACCTGAGAATCTAATTAAAGAAGCATCAAAGATGACCAGTTTTCACTTAAAAATATAAACAATTTCTTGACGAATTATTTACAGTAAAAAAATGGGATAGTTAAATATGCAATTCTTATTGATATGTTAATTAGATTTTATATTTGATTTCTTGTGTTGTCGAAATATTCAATTTCTTCTGAAGGTTAAACATATATATGCTGAAAATATTATAATATAATTGCTATACTAGATCCATATTTTTTAAATACAAACTTTAGCTATTAGACAAATATTTATTTTTGGTGTAAATTATTAGACAAATATTACATGAAAAGAATCATCATGATCATTAGTACCAGTTTTCAATCTTTTAATAGTTCCGGGAATTGTTGACAAAGAAAAGATTTTTAAGGATTAATGGTTTTATAACCGGCCAAATAAAATAAAATCAATGATTCGAGCAAAACGCTTTTATATATATACTCATCAATGTATTAATAGTGGCATAGTGTACGTATGTAAAAATAGTTTAATAGTTGTCTGAATTTTTTTCTTTCGGAATTCTAAAAGAGCTTCACAATAATTTTAGGAACGTTGAATGGTATTAGTATATCTGTATATACATATGGTAGGAAATTTGTATTTGTAGTAATTGTCGACCTAGTCAATCGGTATATATTATCAACTACCCGCAATAAGTTTTAAACTGTTTGACTTATAAGTTAAAATTCTTATATGCACGATTGTAGAAAATCCACATGTTTATGATCTCCATCGTTAGTCAACATATTCTTATAATTTTATTGAACAGCAAACCATCCATATATATACCGATGTTGGATACCTTGAAAGGTCGAACTTAAAAATATATACATATATATACATACACATAAGACATAACACACGTTTCTCCTTTACTTGTTGAGGAAATGGGATCGATGGCTTATAGTAACGAGTTGGTATGCATTACGTAAACCATGTATTTGCGAATTTTCTAGTTGGAAGCTTCTAATCCTAGTTAATTTTAGTTTATTTCATACATTTTATTAAATGAATATATTGACCCACGTTTAGTTCAAATTTAAAGAGAAGATGAAATGTTAATGCATGTAGATGTGAAAGCAATTATGTGAAGTTATATTTTATGTAAGAGGACCAAGCTAATAGGGAACATAAAGTAATATTTAATATTTTAGAAAGCTTCCAAAATCATATTATAAGCAATTTGGTTTCCTCCAAAGTGGAGAACACAAGTGATTCGTTGATTATTAGTATTATTTTCTTTCTCATCTTTTCTATATGTGCTTCGCAATAGAAACATGCTGTTTGTTTAAAGACAAACATTTCTGTCGTTAAACCCATTTTGTTGTCATTTTAAATTGCTTTAGTTCTTTTGCTTTTCTTGTTAAATAATTTTGTCCCAGTCATAGAGCGTGTATATGCATGATGATGGCTTGTTAAACAATGATATATGATGATCCATACAATATGTGATTTGTTCTCTCTAGAGGAATTACTATATAATAAAACATCAAGTAGTAAATAAGAATTAGCATTTTCCATTCATGCTTGACCAATTACGGTACATACACATTTCCGTGGGATATAAAAATTGTTTAACTAGTTTGAATTTAGAATCAGACATTTCCTTTAGCTAACAAATTAAAAGGAATTAGTAAATATCAAATCATTTTTCCTTGTTAAGCACCCATATAATATATAGTTGAACTTCCATACCGAGAATAATGTTCTCTCTTAATTCATATAGACGCACATGTGGGAGGTACCCGAGGGTCGACAATATCCATCTAGGTTTGAACCTTTTTGGCATGTTATTTTATGATTATTATCCATATCGGATCTAAAAGATTGTTTGATAGATTTTGACTTGTAACTCGATTCGATATAAAGTATTAATTATTTGATGTGTCCTCCGGTCAATAAGTCAAAGAGCTATACGAGTTAATCACAACCCACTCGTGCGTTTTGAAGTCTCTTCTCTTTCTTTATTGACAAGTCAACAACGGAAGCTTTGATACAAATTAAGTCCATAAAAAATAAGCATACTTTACATTATTTAATTGTTCATAAGTAAGTGGCTAGTCTAACTAAATCCCTTTTAACTCTCTCTTTCACGATGAATATAATAAGTTAAGGACATGGTTGAGTAGAAGTTTTCTACAAGTTTCTAGGTCATAGTTACTTGGTTGTTAATTTACTACTCCCTCCGTTTCACAAAGAGTGTCGTTTTAAGGTTTTAATTTCGTTTCACAAAGAGTGTCGTTTTGTGTTTTCAATACAGTTTTAAAGACTAATTCTTTTTTTTTAACCTCACTATTTTAGCTTATTAATTAGAGAAATGGTATTATTTAGTGTATTAATAAAGGGTAGAAATGAAATTTGTTTACTTTTCTTAATTTGTGTGAAAAATGTTAGAATGACACTCTTTGTGAAACAGAGGGAGTATTGTTTGATGTGAAGTCAAATATTCCATGTCTTTGATTAATATAAAATGTACGATTTCCATCAAGTAGTTATAGAGCCATCAAGGTATTTGTCAAACAAGAGTATTTAACGTAGAAATGTAAAACTTCAGTGAGAACCCACTTTTATTCTGAAAATACATATCATAGACTAATTGTGAGATGAGATGGTTAACATTTTGTGGTCGAAGTCGAAACCAAATTTACATAAATGATTAAGTCGGTCCTAAGCAATGCCCATACTTAATACCGTAAGACCAACGGAATTGTGTGTACATATGTGTTCACTAATCGTAAATAAATAAGCACCGAATTAGTGTAGTTTAGTGGTTTTATTTAAGGTTCGAATTTATGTAGAACATTCTTCGTTACAGTGGAAATCAGATGATGTATTAGATATCAAAATTAATTTGAAAATCGGCCAACAAAAACCTCGTACCGAGGAAAAAAACAATAGAAAAAGAGTGAACAAGTCAAAGATAAACTCATGCAGAAAGTAACAAAATGTGAATAAAATAAATTGTGAGGTCAATGACATATTAAACGTCGTCGCTTCACGAAAAGAAGCCAGTGAGATTCGGGGAAGTCGGTAAGATATATTGAAGTCAAACACAAACTCTTTTGTTGTTCTAAAATATACAAACCATTTTTGTTTAAACTTCAAATTGTGACTCCTCTACAAATCTACATCGAGGCATGCTTATAAGTTTGGCCCAAGAGTCCAAGACTTTCTTGCCTTACAAAACTGTGGATTACATGGGATGAACTAAATATATTTTCCTATATTAATATCACGAAAAAGACTTTATTACAACATACTTTTACAAATTCTAATTTATGTTTCCTACTAAATTTCTGCTAAAAATAAAGATTGTTTTCTTTTATTACTAGTCATTAACAATTTGCAGAGGAATCAACATTCCTCTTAACTCTTTAACAGTTTTAACTTGAACTAGGTTGCTACCATGAATGTTAGACACTATCAACTTTAAGTCAAACATTAAATTATAAAAACTTACTTATATTATTATACAAGTTGAAAGTATATAAAATGAACCTCGATTGGAATATTGGGCTTTAGGGCCTAATATCAAAAGAACGGGTCAGGAGCCTTTTGGGCATGTGCTAATATTCTACCTTAGATCATAATAGATACAAAACTCTTCGCATTTTCAAACAATGAAAAGCGTGTAGTTTTTATGATAGAAGACGACACATTATATCGATCGAACGACATGTTGTTTATAGACTAGTTGGATTTAGGCCTTTATTAGCCATGTGGAGGTGGAATTGTGGATAGGGAAGAGATCCTGTTTAAACTAAAGTTTAGATATTTTTTATGCACCATCTTTTTCTCAATCATATCGTTCCAATTTAGAGTTCTAAGCAAAATACAATGAGATGCTAATAGAAGCTTTTTTGTCATTTCCTCTTTTTCATATCAACATAAATTGATTTTTACATTTTTTTTTTCTTACATCAAAATAAGTGGTTATTCTTTTACACAAAAAAAAAAACTTTGTTCCAATCAGGTAAAATACTAAAAAAAAAAATTATTTATTGCACAATCACTCAAATAGTAAAAATCCTAATCCAAGAAAATTAGCGGCCAAATCAAAAAATAACCATATTAGTATTACAGCACATGTTTGCTGATTCCTTCATAATCCAAAGCCAATCCTCTTCTCTGTTTCTGGATGTCCAATCATCTTCGCAGTTCTTTCGTCCAGTCGATGATAATAACGGTGGAGAACGACGGAGGCGGGCGACGTTAGGGTTTGTATTCTCTTAGACGCTTATGGCAGTGAAGAAGGCCTGCGAAATGTTCCCGAAGAGTTTGATCGAAGATGTTCACAAATGGGGTTGCATGAAGCAAACAGGTGTTAGCCTTAGATACATGATGGAGTTTGGTTCCAAACCTACTGAGAGGAATCTTTTGATTTCTGCTCAGTTTCTGCATAAGGAGCTTCCGATTCGCGTCGCCAGGAGAGCGATCGAACTCCAGACGCTTCCTTATGGTCTCTCTGAGAAACCTGCCGTTTTGAAGGTACTTTTTCTGGGAATTCTCGGTGTTTGATTTCGAATTTTATCGTTTCTGGTAATCGAAATTGTGATTCGACTTGAATAGGTTGCGGAATTTTGAATTGAATGGTGGTGGTTGGTTCTTCTTGTTAGATTGTTTTATGAAATTGGATATTGTAGATTTAATGAAAAAGTTATATGTGAGATTATTTTTTAAGTTTCTTTTAAATCAAAGGCTTTTAAAGCTGGTGGTGCTACAGTGAAATTGAATGCTTAGAAGATTGTTTGTGTGTGCAAAATCTTTGGAATGAAACCAGATTTGGCAATTTTGTCACCGGAACTCTTAAATAGTTTTTTTGTGTGGATCATATCTTATGTTGAAACGTTCTCTCATTTTCATGTTAACTTCGTTGTATTGTAGGTGCGAGATTGGTATTTGGAATCTTTCAGGGACATGAGAGCATTTCCTGAGATTAAGGATTCGGGTGACGAGAAAGAATTCACTCAGATGATTAAGGCTGTTAAGGTAAGGCACAACAATGTGGTTCCCATGATGGCTTTAGGTGTTAATCAGCTCAAGAAAGGAATGAATTCCGGAAATCTTGATGAGATTCATCAGTTTCTTGATCGCTTCTACTTGTCCCGAATAGGGATCCGTATGCTTATTGGTAAGACTTGCTTTTTGGATCCTCGACTGAAAAGTTTTCGTTTGCTGTTCTTGTGTTAATACTTTTTTTTTTTTTGTGGTTACTATGGAATTCTCAGGGCAGCATGTTGAGTTGCATAATCCAAATCCACCACTTCATACAGTGGGTTATATACACACAAAGATGTCTCCTATGGAGGTAGCAAGGAATGCCAGTGAAGATGCTCGCTCAATTTGTTTCCGAGAGTATGGTTCTGCACCGGAAATAAACATATATGGCGATCCCAGTTTCACCTTTCCGTGAGTTCAAGTTGACTACACTTTTTTCTTAGTTTCATTCTGTTACTTTTGTTCGCATGTAGGAAATAATGTCCTTTTCTTCTCCTTTCTATAGGTATGTTCCAACGCATTTGCATCTTATGATGTATGAGCTAGTCAAGAACTCTCTACGTGCTGTCCAAGAGCGATTTGTTGACTCTGATAGAGTTGCACCACCAATCCGCATTATAGTTGCAGATGGAATTGAAGATGTTACAATAAAGGTTGTTATCATGCGCTTTTCTTCTTCTTTCTGCTAGGCGTTTCATTTTTTGTTGCACTGGGTTGATCCAATCATTGTTGTGGGTCAATATAACAGGTCTCAGATGAAGGTGGAGGTATAGCGAGAAGCGGTCTTCCCAAAATATTCACCTATCTTTACAGCACTGCAAGAAACCCGCTTGAGGAGGAAGTCGATTTAGGAACAGCTGATGTTCCGGTGACTATGGCTGGGTATGGTTACGGTCTTCCAATTAGTCGCTTGTATGCTCGATATTTCGGTGGAGATTTGCAGATCATATCCATGGAAGGATATGGTGAGTCAACTACTTCTTCTTCAGTTTCATATATTCAGATCATATCCATAAAAGTCTTTTAACCTCAAATATCTCAATCAGCATTCATAAGACAGATTCAGATTTGATTTATGTGTATTGTTGAAATGTGCAGGGACTGATGCTTACTTGCACTTGTCTCGCCTTGGAGATTCGCAAGAGCCTTTACCCTGAGAACATCTCCATGTCAGGCAAAGTAAAGAAAGCTTTGACATATTAATGGTAGATGAGGGATATCTACATTACTCAATTATTAATGCTTTTCCAGTTTCTTCTAATGTACAGACATTATTATTCTCATTATGCTTTCTTGATTATAGACCCAAAAGTGAGTTACTCTCCTATGATTTGTTTTGATTCGATTCAAAACCTTGTACTTCTTCGGTACAGTCTCTTTTCTTGGATCTGAAATCAGGAAAACATTATTGGTTTATATTCGATAAAACAGTTGAAGAAGGTCCTGGATTTGGATCGGTTACTTAATTGCCAATTTTATGCTGAACCCAATTTAAAAGAATTTCTCAAGAACAAATAGGAGATCAACATGGTCTTTTACGTTGACGAATTAATAACAGCCAAACGTCATCGTTTTTGGCTTCTTCATTACGACGTCGTGTGGGTTTTTCCTTTCCCTTGTCCTTCGTGAACCCCAGCCTCACTTCTTCTACCAAAAGCCGAACCCAGACCCTGTTCTCTAGTTCCCATCGACGTTCTTGATCCTCTCTGGCTCGCACCGGTGTCTTTATTCAACTCTGGTTCGCATAGGTGACTCCGGTACTATTTCGTCGCCGATGTAAGTCTCTTTCTCTGTCTCTTCTAGCTCAAACCCTAAATCGTTGCATCCTTTTGTGTTATGAAGTTCAATATTACTTGTGCAAAACTGTCTTCGGGTTTCTTCACCTTTAATCCATGGCTCAGTTGCTTTATTCGCTTGATTTCTGTATAGTTTCTCTAGTTTGCGACTGAGGTTGTAATTTTTGTATTCCTCGGGTGTTATGGTCTCATGGAAGTAGATTATGTTGAATGGTGTGAAAGCTTAGGTCGAATTATGTAGAATTAGGTCTCTGGAAGATGATAACTTTATGTCAAAACTTTTGAATGGTAACATGAGAGTTCTCTCTGCTTGCAGAGTCTTTGCCTATGGCCACAACAGAAGCTACTCCAGCTTCTGCTGGTCCAAGATATGCTCCAGAGGACCCAACTCTTCCCCAACCATGGAAGGGACTTATTGATGGAAGCACGGGAATTTTGTATTACTGGAATCCTGAAACCAATGTCACTCAGTATGAAAGACCTTCTGCGCCTCCTCCACCATTGCCAGCTGGTGCTCTGAAGCTCGCTCAGATTCCTGTACCCTCTTCAGGACAAGGTCACCAAGCTCAGCACGAACAAGCAAAACCAGTTGGTCACGTGTCTCAGCAGCATGGTTTACAACAACAGCCACAGCAATATCCATCCCAACATGTAAGACCCCAAATGATGCAGCAGCAGCACCAACATCCGGGCCAGCAAATGCCTCAACAATCAGGTCAACAGTTTCCCCAACAACAGAGCCAATCGATGGTGTCGCAGCCGCATGGGCATCCTTCTGTACAGACTTTTCAGCCAACGACGCAGCAGCAGCATTCACAAATGCCTCAGCAGCAGAGCCATCAGTATGCACACTCACAACAACAGTACATGGGTTATCGGCCTCACATGCAACCACAAGGGTTACAAAATTCACATCAGACACCTCAGGGTGGTCCCCAAGGTCAGCAGTTTCCGAGCCAGCAAGAGTACAACTCATTGGTTCCAAAGAGGGAGGGGGATGAGTTCCATGGGGGTAAGAAAACTGGGTTTCCTCAATCCCATTTACCAAATTCTGAAAATTCGCCATCTCAAAATACCCCCTTTGAAGCCAATGCAGCATCACAAAGAACGAATGCAAACTTGGCTATGGCTCAGAAATACAATGGACCTCAAGCTAACATGCAACATCATGTTGCAGTCACACAATTTCAACAGCCAGGGTCTAACCTGATTCACCAGCAGCTTGGACCTAGGGCTCCAAATCAAATGGACCAGACAATGTTGCACCAGAAGTCTCATGCTTCCTCTTTCCAGTCAAATAATACTTATGAGAATAATCTACAATCTAGACCTGGGAATGACTCATACGTTAACGCGAGAATGGAAGGGCCGGTTAGGGGTGCCCAACCACTTCATCCTGCATCAATGCCGAAGGTTAGCTGCCGATGATAATTTCTCCTATCTGTCTTGTTAAATATTTCTGCTTCACAATGACTTCTTACGAAAAGAAGCATTTGTAAAATGCTTTGCAGGATATAAGGATAGGTGGTGGTCCACCTATAAATGCTGATCCCGCCATGGGGCAAACCGGACATGGAACATATGGACACGCTGGTCTAGCTTTTCCAAATAAATCCTTGGTGAGGCCTCATTTTGCCACATCTCCTGATGTTCCCCATCTCTCGCCCGTTGAAATATACCGAAAGCAACATGAAGTCACAACAACTGTAAGTTCATATTTCTTGGATTGCTTTGCTTAACTTGTCAGTTTAATGTTTTAAAGCTGTAATGTGCTGTAATATTTTGCAATTGTTGTTTCAGTGAATGTTTGTCCATAAAACTCTACTGAGAATGTGGGATTGGACGAACTTCAACTGGAATAAGTAATAGCATTTGAGAATAGTGTTAAACCTTGCACTTTTGTCATGTATTCTATCTAATCTGTGTACGGCCTTTAATAATCTATCGTTTGTTGTGCAGGGCGAGAACATTCCAGCACCATACATCACATTTGAATCTAGTGGTCTCCCACCTGAAATACTTAGAGAGGTAAGTTTTATTATGAACTTTATGTTCTTCATATATATGGTGTCCTAATGTTTGTTTTTCAGTTGCTTTCTGCTGGATTTCCATCGCCAACACCGATCCAGGCTCAAACATGGCCAATTGCTCTGCAGAGCAGGGATATAGTTGCAATTGCAAAAACTGGTTCCGGTAAAACATTGGGATACTTGATCCCTGCCTTCATTCTTCTAAGGCACTGTCGTAACGACTCCCGCAATGGGCCCACAGTTTTGATCCTAGCTCCTACTCGGGAGCTAGCCACACAAATACAAGATGAAGCCCTTAGGTTTGGCCGGTCTTCCAGGATATCATGCACTGTGAGTTTTATTTGAGTCTCGTTAACACTTATCACCAGGGCTGATAAAGCCTATACTAAATGTTTTTGTTTACGAATTCTGGTCATCAGTGTTTGTATGGTGGAGCTCCAAAGGGTCCTCAGTTGAAAGAGTTGGAACGAGGAGCTGATATTGTGGTGGCAACTCCTGGGCGTCTAAATGATATACTGGAGATGAAGAAGATTGATTTCCAGCAGGTTTCCCTTCTTGTGCTTGATGAGGCAGACAGAATGCTTGACATGGGTTTTGAACCCCAAATCCGTAAGATTGTGAATGAAATATCTCCTAGGAGACAGACTCTTATGTACACAGCAACTTGGCCAAAAGAAGTAAGAAAAATTGCAAGCGATCTTCTTGTGAACCCTGTCCAAGTTAACATAGGCAAGGTAGATGAGTTGGCTGCTAACAAAGCAATAACGCAGGTGATTATCATCTTAATCATTTTCTATCACTCTTAAGCATCCTTTCACATAACTTGGCGATGAGGTTACTGAAGTAAACATGCTTATAACGCAGTATGTTGAAGTAGTCCCACAAATGGAGAAAGAGAGACGTTTGGAGCAAATCCTTAGGTCGCAAGAACGAGGTTCAAAAGTTATAATATTTTGCTCCACGAAGAGGCTTTGTGACCATCTTGCACGTAGTGTCGGACGTCATTTTGGCGCTGTTGTGATCCATGGAGACAAGACTCAAGGTGAGAGAGATTGGGTACTTAGCCAGTTCCGAAGCGGGAAGTCTTGTATATTGATAGCTACTGACGTTGCTGCCCGAGGACTCGATATAAAAGACATAAGGTTTGTTGTAATAATTCTTGGTATATACCTCTTTGCTTGTTGTTATCAAGATTACTTACATTTGTTCGTGTTATACTACAAGTGACTACGTTCAGGGGGATGCTAGCTCCGTCC